AAAATGGAGGTGCCGAGAGAGGAGAGACGGGGAGAGGGGCCCGGTCGGCCCGCAGGCGATGATTCTCTGGCCCCTTATTACGGACCTGGCAGACCTCCCGTTCCCCCTCCTCGCCCGGCCCCTGGGGCAAGACTGCTCTCCGCCAGCCCAGCCCTGTTGGGTGTGTGTGTCCTGTATACCTGCCCGTGAGGGGGACATGTAGCATTCAGTTTATCAGGGGGTGCACTCAGGGAGGAAGGAGGTGCGACTGACTTCTGGGGCAAGGAGCGTGCACACAGACACCCCCAGCACCCCATCTGATGCGCGCGTGGTAGCCAGTGGTCGGAGGAGCCAGACGCCTCCACTATATCCCCTCTGGGCATTACTGCAGGAGGCCCCCACTAGGAACATTCGGGCAGAGGGATGGGTGCAGAGCAGAAAGAGAACATCAAACTGATAATGGAGCCAGTGTCTTTCTACGAGATTCTGGAAGCCCCTGTCCCCCACGAGGTTAGTGGTCTGGGGATAGAAACCCTCTCGTAGGCAGAACAAGGACTTATTGGTTCATCTCACCGGGGTTCAGGTGTTGTGTGGCCTTCGGGCTCAGCGGTGTTTTTAGGACCCGGGTCTGTCTCTCTCTCTCTCTCTCTCTCTCTCTCTCTCTCTCTCTCTCTTCCTGCTTTCCTGTGCATTCTTTTATCCTTAGGCAGCATCTTATCTGTGTTCCCGGGAATCAGGCCCCAAGACAAGGATCGGATTGCGAGTAATTTATTTTGGGAGCGATCTCAGAAAACTCCGGGAGGGGAGTGGGGCAAGGGGGGCAGGAAAAGGGAGGAAAGCAGCAAAGGACGCGTTGTCCTGTGTCAGGGCTCAGTCTGCTGGGGCCTCTGGGAGACGGTGAGGGGCTTGCACCCCAGACTTAGCTCCTTTGAGGGGCAATAGAGACCAGGTATTTGCCCACTCATTCTGACCAGTCATTGGTTCAAGGGTGTGAATTATCTGGCACATCCAGACTTCCCTGCATGCGGGCAGAGCAGGGAGCAAAGTCCTGCCGACACCTTGTACTTGTGGCCTCCGGAACCGCGAGGCACTGGATTCCCGCTGTTTTCTGTCACCCAGCTTGTGGCAGTCTGTTACAGCAGCCCGAGCAAACGAATACGCCCTATTTATCAACTTTCTGTCTTTCCCCTCTTTCTCCATCTTTTCCCCATCATCATCCATTGGTTCCTTTATTTACCAAATATTTCCTAAAACTCGACTCACCTGTTGTCATACATGAAAAACCCATATATGTTGCCACAGAGAGCCGAGGCCCAGAAAACCCAAAGACACAGAAAACAAGATGATGGTTTACAATCCCCATGGGACCAGGACCTTTCTCTTAGGAGAATCAGCAGCTGCCTGAAAGGTAAGAAAGATGGTAGCATCGAGCTAGACTTTCTCCAAAGGATCCCTAGAGGAAGAGGATTGAAGGGAGCGAGGTCACGATGCTCACCGTCTCTCTGCTCCTTCGCACACACCCACTCACTCGGGGCCAGCATCCCCCTGAGTGTCTTTGTCCCCTCCTCTCCGACCCGTTCCTCAGCTCCTTCCCTGATTCTCTGGTTGCCTCCTGGCCTCTCTGGCCTCTTTCTCCCTTTCCAGCCCAAGCTCCACCCAGCAACCAGAGGGCTCTTCCAAATCGCTTTTTATTTCAGGAGTAATAAGTGAATTGGTTCCCATGATAAAAAGTCAAAGCAAGGCAGAAATATGTGGAGTGGAGTTGGGAAACACAATCCAACCATATCCTGCCTCCCTTCTAAACTTTCCTGTGGCTCTCCATCCTCTATCCTAAACTTCCCTAGGCTCTCCATCCTCCATCCTCAACTTCCCTATGGCTCTCCATCCTCCATCCTCAACTTCCCTATGGCTCTCCATCCTCCATCCTAAACTTCCCTATGGCTCTCCATCCTCCATCCTGAACTTCCCTATGACTCTCCATCCTCCATCCTGAACTTCCCTATGGCTCTCCATCCTCCATCCTAAACTTCCCTATGGCTCTCCATCCTCCATCCTAAACTTCCCTATGACTCTCCATCCTCCATCCTGAACTTCCCTATGGCTCTCCGTCCTCCGTCCTAAACTTTCCTTTGTCTCTCCATCCTTCTCTGTGTAAACCCCAAGGCCACCCATGTTCAAGGTTCTGGTCAGGCCCTGCCCACTCTTTCCCAAGACCCTCCCTCCAGCCACTCCAATGGTTGCCATTTTCAGCCCGCTCAACCCTCTCTCCCTATCTCTGTACCTCGCTCAC